CCCCCCCCCCGCCCCATCCCCGGCTGTGGGGTCGGCGCGCATGCGCAGCCCTCGGCTCGGCCTGGGCGCACCTTTTCTCCCTCCTGCCACAATGTGAGCGCTCAGCCGCGCAGATAACCGCCGGCTGCCTGCTCCACCCCCGGCCCGCGCCCACTCCGCCCACTCCCGAGCGCCCAGGTAAAGGCGTGGGCAGCGCATGCGCGTCGTTTCCGGGCGCTGGGGTGGGGGGCGTGGTTGACAAAAGGAAGCCTAAATGCAGAAGGTGAGGGATTTGTGGCCAGGGGTTTGGGGATCCCACCAAATAGGGAAAGATAAAAGTGAAAAGGGGGAGAAAGTGGAAAAGTGGGTCACAGTGAGATTTGGGAGTGACTGTCTCTGACTTATGGAATACGTTAAAAACAAAACTTCTAAAAAAGTGCTGGCCACCTTGCTAGTGTAGAGAGTGAGTGACACAATGGGAATAAAAGCAGCGACGGACTTACAAGCAGTAGTCATTCTCCAGATAAATGGGAGAGCTGGCAACAACTAGAGGAATTCAGAAACTGCCATCATGGTCAGCAAAACAGATGGGTTGCGGCGCTTGTCCCATGGTCAGTAATAGGGAAGTGTGTGTGTGTGTGTGCCGGAATCCCAGAACTGCTGCAAGAAAGGAACGCTCCACTTGTAGAAGTATGACCACATTATGACTAATTAGCTATTAATCATTAATATAATTAATGGTACTGTTAGCTAACAAGGTAGCATTTATCCGAGCTCAGAGCCAAGAGAGTGTCTGCAATAGAAAGTGCTTAGGGTACAAGGAGAGGAAATGACTTGACAAGGGGAAGGCTCCACAGGGGAGACCCAAGGTGACATTCCTAGGTGAGGAGAGCCCTTTCCCACCAGAAACAAAGCTTCCTGAAGTTCTCCAAGCCTTAACTGGAACTCCTTCCATTACTTTTTTGTATTTTTTTATTTATTTTACTTTGTGTCTTTGCATGTTTTGCCTGCATGCATGTACGTGCAACCTGTGACTGTCGGATCCCCTGGAACTGGGGTTATAGATGGTTGGAGGCCACCATGTGGATGCTGGGAACTGAACCCAGGTTCTCCGTAAGAGTAACAAGTGCTCTGAACTTCTGAGCCTTCTCTCGGGTCTTCTTCCTTCTATCATTAAGCACATACATTATTAATGTTCTTCACTAAAGCTGACTTACCCGCCCCCCCCCCAAACATGAAACAGTTTCCATATAGATGCAGCTCACCCAATCCTCCAGGGAATAAAATGACCTGAGTCTGGGACAACATTAAGAAAGAAATTGAAACTTTATAAATAAAGGGTCAAAGAGCTGACTCTGTCTTTGGCTCCTTCCAGAATCAGATGTTTGGATTTTATTATACTTGGACTCCAGGCCCCAGGGATCAGAGTTTTGGAACTTTGGGCCATGGTCTTCAGTAGTGAACGCTTCCAGTGGGTAAATACTAACATCTTCAAGCCGACCAGAAGACAGGAAGCATACACAATAAAATGAAATTCAGTGTAAGAATAAGCTCAGGATCTGGTGAACTCAGACTGTCTTCCTGGACACTTGACCCATTCCTCTACCCTCTGCTGGTCAGGTTGTCCTGCTTGGATGATGGGTGTGTAGAGTGATGACCAAAAATTGAGGTGACCTTCCAAATGTTATGACTCTCCATCCAACTCTTTGAATGGACCCTAGTAATCACAGTATTATATTAATTCAGCTTTCCATTTCAACAGTGCTTTGTGTATTTTTTTTAGAAAAATTATTACATTTTTGTTATTTGTGTTTGTGTATGTGTGTGGTTGGCCACTCCATGTGACAAAGGACAACTTATGAGAGTCAGTTCTCTCTACCATATGGTCCTATGCACTGATGTCAGGTCCTCTGGCTTGGGGACGAGCAGTTTTACCGGATGAGCCATTTCACCTGCCTCTGTGGTTCCTACAGGGAGTTTATATCCATTATCTCATCAGATCTTCCAACAACTGCAAGGGCAGACAGAACAGGTATTATTCACAATGAAAGAAACTTAAGCCAAGGAATGTTTTGATGGCTTAGCCAGTTACCCAATCCAGTAGACAGCAGAGCCAAACCAAGATCCAGGTTCTCTAGTTCCCACTGTGCTGGTCCCCTGGAGGATTTGATAGCCCTACTCTAAGAACTGTCACAAAGTCTTTAAAAAGAAAAGAAAAAGATTTACTGGCCGGATGCCTTTAATTCTAGCACTTGGGAGACAGAGGCAAGACGATCTCTGTGAGTTTGAGGCCAGTCTGGTCTCCAGAGTAAGTTCTAAGACAGCCAAAACTGCACAGAAAACCCCTTTCTCCGAAAAAAAAATATTTTTTATGTGCATTGGTGTTTTGCATGTATGTACGTCTGTGTGAGGATGCCAGATTCCCTGGAACTGGAGTTACAGACAGTTGTGAGCCATGTGGGTGCTAGGAATTAAACCTAAGTCCTTTGGAAGAATAGCCAGTGCTCTTAATTCCTGAGCCATCTCTCCAGTCCCTCACATATTCCGAATAAGTGAAAGCTAGTACTTTCGACACACAGTGGAAAGGAATCTTAATTTTAGCTCTGTCTCTGTATCTTCTGTACTTTTTTCCTTCTTTCTCTCTCTTGAGCCCTAGATTTGCTTCTAGAAACCTTTACAGACCCATGTTTTTGCAAGAGTTTGGGATTCAAGTCTAGCTAACAAGATCCAGCTAGAGCGCCCAGTTCCTGTGTTCTCCTTCTATTCTTTTCCCTTTACTCATCACAGGCAGGGGATTGCCTCCCAGTGCTACTAATCCTGCAAACCACAAGTAGAGCTTGGTCGCAAGGCCCCCCTGATCCAATGGTCACACTCAAGATTGTCAGTCACTGCAGGAGACCTTCAGACATATCCATTCTGAGTTTTTTGGTCTTGGATAACTCTTCACTATTTTTTTTCCCATTAAGACAGTGAGCAGAAGCCGTCAGAAACCCATCCCGCTTTTATGGGACAGGGTCTTACGTAACTCTCGCTGGCTCAGAAACTCTAGGTTGCCAACAGTGACCTGAGCTTCTGATCCTTTGCCTCCACCTCCCAAGTACTGTAGTTACAGATATTCATCACCATGTCTGACTAGACGCCTCTCCTGACTCCTTTCATGGAAACAAGGTCTCACTATGTAGTCCTGGCTGGCTTGAGATTCCCTGTATGGACCAGGCTGACCCCAAACTTACAGAGATCCAGCTGTCTCCACCTCTGGAATGCTGGGATTAAAAATGTGCACCACCACACCTGGTCCCGTATTAATGTTGTTAACAGCCAATTAAAATAAGGGCCTAATTTTAAAAATCAGATGGACAGAGCTAGAACCTGATGTCCAGGGTCCAAGTCCAGGACTTCTCTGACCCCATCCTGTAGCTCTTTGCTGGATACCATACAAAGCAAATTGAACAGATCTGGTCTCTGCCCTCTGAAAGTTTGGACTCAGATGGACAGCCAGCATGCCGACAGACATAAAAGACCAAAGTGATTAACGGTCAACACAGGCCAATAAATAAAGGAGCTAAGTAGATAAGGAGGGGCACGTTTACCTGATCTACTAGTATTCTTTTCATTCCAGTCAGGCAAAAAGGACAGTATTAGTAAAGCAGAGGCTTAGGGCTGATCTCAGTCTGCCTACTCACTTTTCCCAGATGGAAAAATATTTGTAGGTGGTAGAGAGATGGCTCAGCCCTTAGGAGTACTGGCCTCTTCCAGAGAAACTGGGTTTGATTCCCAGGACCCAGACAGCTCGTAATCATCTGTGACTCCGGTTCTGACCTGGTGACTCCGGTTCTGACCTGGTGGATCTCCGCCTACAGCTCTCCTCCCAGGCAGTAACATCTTCAGCGTTACCCTCCATGCAAGGTCTAAAATGATGGCAATTCAATATCCATTTTAGTGTTGAAGCACACAGTAAAGATACATCCTGACCTTGCTGGACAATGGTGGCACACACCTTTAAGTCCAGCACTCGGGAGGCAGAGGCAGGAGGATCTCTGTGAACTCTAGGCCACCCTGGTCTACAGAGTGAGTTCCAGGACAGCCAGGACTACACAGAGAACCACCGTCTTGAGGGGGCAGGGTGCCGGGGAGGGCAGATACATCCTTACCTCTGTCAAATGGCCAGTTCCCATAATGGAGAGGTGGACTTTTAAATTTGAGAGCCTTTGTAGCCTTGCCCTAGAGCAGTGGTTCTCAACCTTTCTAATGCTGCAACTCTTTAATAAAGTTCCTCATGCTGTGGTGACCCCCCCAACCATAAAATTATTTTTTAAAAAAATATTTATTTATTATTATGTATACAATATTCTGTCTGTGTGTATGCCCGCAGGCCAGAAGAGGGCACCAGACCCCATTGCAGATGGTTGTGAGCCACCATGTGGTTGCTGGGAATTGAACTCAGGACCTTTGGAAGAGCAGGCAATGCTCTTAACCTCTGAGCCATCTCTCTAGCCCCATAAAATTATTTTCGCTGTTACTTCAGAACTGTAATTTGGCTACTGTTATGAATCGTAATGTGAGTAGCCATGTTTTCCGGTGGTCTTAGGCGGCCCCTATGAAAGGGTCCTTAGCATCCACAGTTTGAGAAGCGCTGCTCTAGAGAAATGAAGCCACCACCTGCAATCCTTAGCTTCCTTGCGATTTAAGGGAAAGCAGAGAGGAAGCCTGGCCTTAGGGAACTGGGCGCAACTTCCTCCTTAGGGTTTGACCTCCTGGTCTGTCTATAGCAGAGGGCTGTAAGACCCTTAGGTTGCACTTGTGTGTGAGTCTTCAAAGAGGTTCATTCACTCTATTAGGTAGTAGGGTTAATTTGTTTGTAATTGATGTGACATGTGCCTCAGAGGCATGCACTGAGGTCCAATTGAGATTTTTTTAATTGGAATTAATTAATTAAAGAGGGCAGCTGAGAGGGGCTGGAGTCAGTGCCAAACTCTGTAACCCTAAACCAGCCAACCCATCCAACCGGCTGTGCCACCTGAGAAATGTCCTCAGGTTCTCAAGAGGAGACCCCGGAAGCAGGCCCGGAATTGGGGGCTGCTAGGGAATTCTGGGCACCTCAGATTTCAAAGCCCTCGCCCGAGGCGTGATTCTTGAAGACTCTTAAGGGTAACTTGGTAGCTGGAAAAAAGGTCAAATGAGACGCGTGAGATTACCAAGGGGGCTGGAAGAGCGGTGATTGGCAGAAGCTGGAGGATCCGCCTAAGAAGAGGACCCTGTGAGCAGAGGAGGAGGAGGAGCCTGGCTGTGGAGTTGTGGGGGCGGACAACACGTTGCCTGAGGGCTCAGCCTTCTGAGGTATTAATTAAACCCAGACCTGAGGTTGTTAACAGAGCTGTGGCAGCTTTTCATAGGAGTTGGGTTAATAACAATAACAATAAACAATTACGGTCCAGGAGACCTTATCTGGAGTTTTTCTTGGAGGTTGTACCAGTAAGTCTTTAATTTCCCCAGCCCCTTGGGGCCACCTTTCCTAGAAAGTAAGGTTTGAGGATACCAATTGTCCTCGGTACCTGAGGATGCATCTGGAATCCCTCACTAGCCCTCAAGGCCTACTACCTTTGGTAAGGTGGCTTTGTTTATTTCTCAGGAATAATGCCCGGGATTTCTTTTAAGATTTCATGGGGGCAGGGGGGCGGAGGGCTGGCTGGAGGAGACTGGAGTCGGGGCTGGCTCAGCCGCTCAGAGCACTGACTGATTTTTCGGAGAACCAGGATTTGGTTCCCCACCCAACCCCCACCCTCCCACTCCCCACCCCCAGCCACAGCAACTCACAGCCTCCTGCTAATTCCAGTTCCATGGGTTCTGACACCCTCTTCTGGTCTCCACGGATATCAGGCACTCATGTGGCATACACGCATACATGCACACGCTCCAGCATACTCGCAAAATAAAAGGAAATCTTAAAGAAAATAAAGGATCTCATGAGCCGTTAGAGTATTTTGCACTGTTTAGTCTCTGAAAGGATACTTGGAAGAGTGTGGAAATGTAGGCACCAACACAGATGCCTGGACAGCTTTGATGGGAAAACCGAAGGCTGCCTGAGTGCACTAGGCAGGAGAGTCGGACAAGACCAGGACATATGTGGAGTGGAGAGCTGAGAAGTGCTCCAGAGAGTGGAGGTTGGGGGGCTGCAGGGAGAGGTCTGGGGGGCTGCAGGGAGAGGTCTGGGGGGCTGCAGGGAGAGGTCTGGGGAGCACAGCCCCGAGCCTTTACCTTCAATCATGATGATAACCTAGCCAGGCATGGCTGTGCACCCCCTTTAGTCCTAGCACTTGAGTGGCAGAGAGAGGCCGGCGAACCCCGATGAATTCAAGACTAACCTGCTTTACACTGTGAGTTCCAGGACAGGTGGAGCTACACAGAGAGACTCAGAGGTGTGGGGGAGGGGGAGAAAGAGAGAAAAGATTGGGGGGGAAGGTTAGGCAACTAATCCACAGACCATGGAAGGAAATTTAGAGGAGGAGTTGGGGGTGATGGATGAGCAGGGGAGGGGGATGCTAGACTAGGTGAGGCATCTGTAATCGATCTTTGGGGAGAAGGCTTTGAGCAAACTTTCTTGTCAGTAGAGAGACTAACCTTGTAGAGTCAAACCGCAGCTGGTAACAACAGATCATATTCACCAGTCCGGTGCCTATCCCATTGGTTGTAAGAGTGACTTTATCCTAGACTGCAACGTAGAACGTGCTTTGTACATCATGAAGATGGATTGGCTGATTCAATTTCCGAGCAGTTCAGGTTGGGTTCCAACATGAAATCCTTCTGCCCCAGCCTCCCAGTTGTGGGGTTACACGTGTGTGCCACCATGTCCATGTAGCACCTGTTTTCAAAAGAAAGCGGGGCAGCAACCTCAATGTATGTCAACAGACTGAGTATCCTGAGGGCTCTTTAGATCCCGGGGAACAAGACTGCAGTACCGCATTAGTGAAGGAGGAAGCAGAGCTGGGCAGCAGAAGGGTCTGTGTCTTGAGGCAGGAGGGACCCACTCTCTGACCATCACCTGCCTTCCCTCCTCTGGTTACCACATAGAACTACTTATAAAAGACACTAGAACTTTCTGGAATGGAATATCAATTTACCTTGTAAACTGCATCAGAGAACAAAGTGAAATGTTACTTGGTGGTTCTAGGGAATAGAATGTTCTGGTTAATAAAATAACTGGTTAATAAAGCACTGTTTTGAACAGATAGTAATATTTGGAATATACTTACATTAAAATTACTCGTTTATCTGAAATCCAGATTTCACTGACTCTTTCGTTTGGGCAGCCCTGCCGACAGGTCAACCATTAGATTTGCATCCATGGTGGTACTTAGAGAGGGGATCAATAAGAGAAAGAGAACAAGGGGCCTCTTGGTTCCTTAGAAAATGGGGACCAGAGATGCTCATATATGTGTAATGGCTTCTAGGAACCCAGAGCAGGTCACTCCCAAATCATTCAGGTGTGTGAGATCTCACTGGGTACCTGGCTGGGACATTACCGAGTCTTCAAGTGGCTGAATGTCAAGTTAAATAGTGTTGCAGAAATCTCGGGAGAGATTAAATAAATAAACATTAACTAAACAAGTATCATATATGGTGGTGGTGGCAGCTCATGTTGGTAATCCCAGCACTCGGGAGGCAGAGGCAGGTGAATCTCTGTGAGTTTGAGGCCAGCCTAGTCCACAGAGCAAGTTCCAGGACAGCCAGGGCTACACGGAGAAACCCTAACTCGAAATACCTCACCACAAAAGATATTTCCAGTTCACTGAATGGTTCCTCCTGTCCTAAGCCTAATCACTGTTACCCCATATAATCAAAATAACTAAGGCAAAGGTAGGTATCTCTCTTTTACAGACAAGAAAACTAAGGTGTAGAGACCACAAGTAGGAAATGACATAAGGTCTCATTGTTCTTACACAGCAGAGGCAAGAGTGAACTGGGTAGCCAGAGCCCGTAACTGTGATTTTCTTTCCCTAAGAATCCATGTATGTATACGCACCATACACATACCTGGTGCCCAGAAGAGGGTGGCAGATTCCCTGGACCTGGAATTATAGCTGGTGACTTACCGTGTGGGTGCTCAGAATTGAACGCCAGTCCTCTGCAAGAGCAAACCACTGGGCCATCTCTCCAGTCCTCACACCAGCTCTCAGCCACAGTGCTGTACTGCCTGGCACCCCAAGCTCCTCCCAGATTTCTTCACCGGCTCCTGTCATGAGTAGAAGAGTGGTCCCCCAAAAGACCCACATCCCCTTCTCTGAACTTGCGAATATGTTACCCTACATTGCAAGAGGGCCTTTTCAAGGTGATTCCGTTAAGGGGTGTGGAGATCATACTGGATTCTTATGGGCCCAGCACTGTAATAGTTCTTAGAGGATTGAGACAAAGTGTTGGACTCTGAGATATAGTTAGGGAAGTCAGGGAAGCAGGATCGAAACCACGTGATCTGACTGTGGCGATGGACAAGGCTGTGAGCTGAGGAATGTGGGCCGCCCTGAAAAGCACAAGTAGACAAGCTAGGACCCATTTCTCCCCATTTCTGACACAATGCTGTCCGGCTCAGCCCAATGAGACTTCTGGCATCCAGATAGAAAGGCAACACACGGGTGCTGCGTTTCGCTACCGGGTCTGGGTCTGTGGTGATTGACTAGCGCAGGCGCCGAAAATACATCCCACTCTCCACAGAAACCTGAACCGTTTTGCGAGACGTTCCGGGACTTGCCCAAATGTGGGGTCAGCTTCACTACCCCTGACTCCCCGTGCTGTACGTGTTGAATATCTCCAGCATCTACAACCGGCCATGCTCTAAGCTTTCCCCATATCATGCCTCCAGTCTGGAACACCCCATCCTTACTTGTTTCCCTGGCAGAGACCTCACCCTTTACATTTCAGCTCAAATGCTGCCTCCTCTGGGAAACCTTCCATCCTTCTCCCAGGGGGCTTTGGGCCACTTCCTCTGTAGTTTACTCAGGTAAAAACTGCCTGAGTTCTAAGGGATTCTTTAGTCCCTCCCTGGATTGTTAACTACTTGAGAAGAACAGTGTTTTCTCTTTCGTTTTTGGTATTCTTTAGCAGCCGTAAATAAAGGCTGCCAAGGGCTGGAGCTATTCCTCGACTACCAGTGTGCCATGGACCAGTGACGTGGTACTCGGACTCCATTTTCCCACCAGTAGAATGCCTTGGGTGAACTACTCTTTCCTTTCTAACAAGAGATGAGGTAAAAGGAGATGAGACTGCGTGTCAGTTAGGAAGAAAAGGCACTGGGCTGGGATGTAGTTCACGTGGCAGAGTGCCTGTCTACATACACAAAGCCATGGGTTTGATCCCCAGGAGGGTATCAGCTGGGTGCGGTGGTGCCCGCCTGTAATCCCAGCACTTAGGAAGTGGATGCAGGAGGAGCAGAACTCATGAGAGTCTGTCTCAAAAGAAGGAGGAGGAGGAGGAGGGAAAGGACTTCCTCTTCAAGTTCAGTCTCTTGGGCTGAGACATGAGTCTGGAGTCAGTCCTCTCCACAAAGAGCCTTGTCTGCCCTGCTCCTTCCTTACCGTACCTCCAGCTTACCGTTTACATTGGTCTCTAGTCTCAGGTGAGTTCTCCCACGTCGACAGGTGACAATCCTACAGAGGGCTTTCCCACATTCCTTGGATTCCCGGCTTCTTCCTAAGGTGCACACTGCTATTTGCAACCACTTGGACCGCAGATTTCCCCACAGGTAATTGAACTGCAAGGTATTGTGAAAGATGTCCTCCAATTTCCAGACTGCCCCCAGGGCTCTCCATGGTGTGTCTAAAGGCAGGGATTCTGTCTATCAGGAATTTAATTGATGTTGTATAATAGGTTTCTCCACCCAAACAAGCTGTGGGCCTTGGCTGCTCCAGTGGCTGCCTCTCAGTGCACACCCTCCCATGTTTAATGAGAAGCAACAGAAAAGAAGAAGAAGCTCCATCAAGTTCCTACAGTGACTCCCCGTGCTGTGCTCTAAGAGACTCTGAAATGCTCTCACATTTACGCCCTGCCTGGGGAACCAAGACTCAGGCGAGTAATGGCAGCTGGACAATATCAGGTGTGGTATAGTCAAATGTATCAAATAACACAGCTTATGCAATGGGATTAGAATTCAGAGAAAGGAGAACTCAACCAGGGCTTGACAAGAGGGGGGGCGGTGGCATAAAGGACAGGAAGTTGAGTTGAGGCACTGTAGATTGAATAGGAAAAGGGGGTGAGTGACGGTGAGCTAAAGAGGCCTCCTGATGTGGGGGCTCACTGCGAGGTTCCACAGGGAAACAGAAAGGAAAAGGGCTTGGGGGGAAGAGGAAGAAGGGGAGAGAGGGAGGAAAAGAGGGAAGAAGGAAGAGAGGAAGGAATGGAGAGAAGGAGGAAGGAAAGAAGGCAGGGATGGAGGGAGGCAAAGAGGGAAGGGTGAAGAAAGAGGAAAGGGAGGAAAAAGGAAAGAAGAAGAGAAGGAAGGAAGAAGGAAATGAGAGGAAGGAAGACTGGGAAAAAATAAGGGAGATGGGAAAGGAAGGAACTATTGTCTTCCAGCCCCTTTTGAGGAACTTTTTAGAGAAAGGATTTTTTGGTGTAGCCTGGAACTCACTCAGTAGACCAGGCTGCCCTTGAACTCACAGAGCTCTGCCTGCCTCTGCCTCCCGAGTGCTGGGATTAAAGGCGTGCGCCACTGCCACCCAGCAGGTCTCATCCCCCTGTGGTGTGACCTGCCCTGTGATTTGGGAAACTCCGCACTTAGGGCAGCACTTTGACCATGTGATTTTCCACCCTGTTTCACTGTCCGGCCCCAAACATTTTCACTGCTGCCTTCCTGCTGGCTTTCACGGGCACGGCACCTTCTTCCCTGGCATTCTTGGAAAGCTATCACGGTTTCATGACCGGGAATTCTACCCCTTGGAGACAGTGCCACAAAGTTGCGGGGAGAGACCCAATTATGAGAGAACCCTAAAAGAGCACCAGGAGACTAGGCCAGCATGTTCTGGCTCCCATCTGCTTCCCAATTATCATATCTTTTCAAGATGATCCATATGGATGTTGATACTTAAGGAAATGAGAGCGAACAGCTCCAAAGGGTTCTTGCTTATGTTGGTTTAGAGTTGCTTATGTGCCTTCAGAGCAGAGAATATTGAACGTTTCATAATTTGCCGTGTTGTCTGGGGCAGATAAGCAAGAAGGAGGAATTCGTAGCATCTTGCCTTGGTGAGACAGTTGGAAGACTTCTTCTGCTTATCGTGGTTTAACACCCACCCCACGTCAAACAACCACAGGAGGAGTTAGAGTCTTCCTTCAAGGACAAGTCTCACACCGCACACAGGGGAGCCGTCTACCATAGTAGCTAGAGCTAAGGAGAGGGGGTTTCTTTCCCCACAAGATGGCTGCCCTCTGGGTCAGGGCCTGGGTGCCGTTATTTCCTAACTGGGTGAAATGGTAAGGGCCTTCATAACTTCCTTTGTTTGAAGGGTTTGTGGTCAAGGTGAGCGTGTGCATGGGCACACATATGTATCAACGCCAGACATCAACATTGTGTCTCCCTCAGTCACTCGCCATCTTGGGAGTTTGAAACAGGGTCTCTCACTGAACCTAGAACTCACAGACTTGGCAGGACTGGCTGACCAGTAAACCCTAGACAGCCACTGGGCCGTGCCTTCCCTGTGCTAGGATTACGATGTGGGCCTCCACACGTGGTTTTTTACATGGATGCTGGAGATTGAATCCAGGTCCTCATGCTTGTTTGGCAAGCATTTTACTAACCAAGTCCAGCCTTGGAGGGCTTGTTTTTTGTTCTGTTTTTGTTGTTGTTTGTTTGTTTTTGTTGTTGTTTGTATTTTGTTTGTTTGGTTGGTTTTTCAAGACAGTGTTTCTCTATGTAGTTCTGGCTGTCCTGGAACTAGCTCTGTAGACCTGGCTGGCTTCAAACTCAGAGATCCTCCTGCCTCTGTCTCCCAAGTGCTGGGATTAAAAGTATGCACCACCACTGCCCAGTAAGGGCTTGCTGTTTAACACAGAAATTTTAGAGTCTAATTTCCGCCCCGTGTCCTATAGGGTGCTGAGTTCAGGCATGGAGAACAACGTGGTGCCTTCAGGACTGTGCGCATGTGAACATCTCGTTAGCACGTTCTCCATTCCTCCCAGCAAGGCCCTCTCTGTGAGGTGAAGAGATGAGGAGGGACCACGGTGGGAGCACAGCAGGACTCGCAGAAGCCAGGGGCGCTGCTCTGGCGGGCTCTTCACTGCGTTGTCTTCATCAGCATCCATCCTCCCTGGTCAAGCATGGCCCTACTCTGTAGCAGGAGGCCCACCTTCCCCCAACATTAAAAGAGCTACTTTAGTGGCTATCATAGGACCTGGTCATAGCCTCTGTTCTGTGCATATTTGTCAAATGAATTGGCTACAGATATGGAAAGGAGCCCCTTGGAAAAGTTTCTGGTGGTGTTCAGATGTTGACAGTTATGTTACTGGTATTTGTGTGCTGTGGATGGGAAGGGACACCATTGGGGATCTGAAGGGACACTATTGGGGATCTGAAGGGACACTATTGGGGATCTGAAGGGACACTAATGGCAGTAAGAATGGAAGCTTGTGGCAGAGCCCTGAAAACCCCCAGGAGCTAATATTGTATCTTACTAACTTTGAGAAACTGTTGTGGGTTTTTTTGGATCACCAGTAGGAGAAATCAAGCGTGTAGAGGTCTTATAGACAAAGGGATGCGTTTGATATGGTGGCGTCACAGTGAGTCTTATGGCGGTCCGACATGGTAGGACGCTCAAGGGATGACTTTCGTAGTTGAAGGATGGATGTTTGCCTGGGCGGGTGTCAGGACACCGGCAGGAGTTCTAGTGAAACTTGCTTTTCTGTGTGTGAAACTCCAGAGAATTAGCACACTGGTGGCAGAGGTCGAGCTGGGACAGCCACTGCCAGGGAGGAAGGAGATGTCTCCGGGCTCAACTCAGGAGTTCTTCAAAGAGAAAGAGTTGTCTTTCTCCATCTAGAGAGCCTCCTGAGAGCAGAGAACGTATCTCGTGTATTGCACTACAGAGCCAAGTAGCCAGCCTTGCTCACGGTAGCTGGGTAACAAAAGCTAGCTTCAGGAACACATGCAGGCAATGGCTCTGGGAGATGTGGGTCCTGGGAGCGACTGTGGAGGCTGCTGGAACACTGTTTACCACCTTCCGTCCTCCAGCTTCCATAGCCTACTCGTTGACCCACTTTCTCCCTTTAAGCCAGAAGGGGTTTGCAGGGGCTGCTGCTCTTGAAGTGGCATGCGTAAATGGAGAAAGGAGACAGGGCCACTGCAGGCCACTGAGCCGCTCCCTTCCTTCCCCAGTGGGCGCCCAGTGGGCCGGAATCCACGTGTTTTGTAGGATTCCACTCAACCCCGTACCTATTCATCAGCCTGCCATGCACATTTCCCCTTCCAGCCCTCTCGCTTTCATCTCATCTCAGCAAGCAGAGACTCGTCGTCGCTGTGAGCTGGTGTTAACAAATGTGCACACAACACACGCAGACTCACACAACACACATGGACACACACACCTTTCTCAGTCTATGATCCTTTGTCTGGCCCTTTGCTCCAGGGCCTGGCCCATCTTTATGAGATCTAGGCTCTTCCTATCCCAGGATGCTGAATCTGGCCTCTGATGGACAGAGCTGGGCATTCTGCACGTCCCCAGCCTTGCCTTCCCTTGGGGGCTTGCGGAAGATCCACCCATATGGCAGAACCTTCCAGAGAGACTTGAAACCAGGAGCCTGACCTCATGATGCCCGCAGCACCTGGCACAGAGGGTAACAGCTCTGATGTCCTGGCCCCAGCCCAGTTCTCTCTTCTGGAATCCACACCTTTCCTGACTCTCCTCCAGCCCTACAAGATCAGCCCCAGCTTGGAGAGAATACGCCTGGCCTTATGAAGGACAAGGGAAGGGAAGGGGAGGTCTCTGCTGAAGGACCTTGACGGACTTATTCCTTGCTCGTGTGTCTCAGTTTCCCCAGGAGAAACTCTGCCCTTGCGTCCATGGTTACAAAGGATCTCAGAACTGCCAGAAACCCTAGTCATGTTGTGTTCCCTGGCTGCCGGGAGCCACCTGCCCCACCCCGTGCTAGCTGATGACGCTGACAGCCAGGCAGGGTCCTGCAGGATGAAAGTTCCAAGAAACCCGAGCAGGATAATGATAACCATCAACACTGACGGCGGCGTCTCAGCCACCCGGGAATGCAGGCCCCACGCCCTGTGCCTCACACCCCAGGACACTGCAAGGGCTCCTTTCCCTGCATTTTATTGCAGCGATCCCACACTCTGCCATTCCCAGCCCAACCCATCGGAGTTTCCAACAGCTTCAGTCCAGTCACCAGGCTCATCCGCCACCCAGCTTCCATGGGAAGATTTGGCTAAGAAGACCAAGCCAGCAGTCGAGAAGGACGCCCAGTGCTTGGAACCTCCAGCTCTGGGCTTTCCCAGAGAAGCAAGCCACCTGCCCCTGGCCCCGGGCACTTTCCCACACACCCAGCTGTGTCTGGTCAGTACAAAGGCCAGAAGCCTTGCAAGTGCTGTCCATCTGAATCTCTATTTCCGAGTAACTCACCGGCGGGCCCCAGACAAGTTTTGTCTTGACTTTCATTCGTCTAGAAACTTCCCAAGGCTTGTACTGGTCATGCGTGAGAAACAGGGGTCTAGGTTGGGGGAGTATCTCTCATTTCCCATACACATTAGCAACCCTACATTTCTCCCATATTCTGAAGTAACTACTCAGTTTGGCCACATGTGTCCCATGTTTCTCCGTTTGTGGGACTGGTTCATTCTCTGGGAATGTCAGTATCTCCAGCTCCCCTTGATCAGATTCCCTGACCCTTCAAGGCCCGGCCTTGATTCATGACTCTGTCTGACCCCTGTCCCACCTTGGTTGCTCTTCATCGGAACCTCTCAAGTCCCTTTCCATCTGTGCCATCGTGACCTGCACATCTTTACTTACCTACGGGTCCTCTGTGCCCTGGCATTTCCTCCGTGTGTGCTGGTACAAGACTTCACAGCCAA